AGAGCTTCAGGACTGGTACTGGCGAGAAACTAGCTCATCGTCGTTCAGCTGCAGCTTTTCTGAGCACTGGCATTTCTCACATGCGATGCGCTCTCTTGGTCTCGACGGACGGCCGACTTCAGCAGGCGGAGATAACCAGTGCTATAGGGTCGAGCATTGGGACCCAGAGAAAAGAGATAATGAGGGCAACCAGATCCCGGCTATCAATCAGTGGTACAGCACGGCAGGTAACAGCAAGCAATACAGAGTGAGTTTAGGCTTGGGTATGAGCAGTAGTTAGATGCTGACGGCGTTACAGGCAACAAAGGCGCATTTTGAATTCGGAATCAACACCAAAGGAGGCGCTATCTATGGTCTCTTCCTTGAAAGCCCTCAAGCATCCGCCAAGACTATCTGGGGCGGTGGTACGAAGGAGCCGAACAAAGACGACCTACCTCAACTTCGCGCTTTCTCAGACATCATCTGGGGATTTTGGGTTCGTAACAACCCCAATATCAAGAACATTCGCTACTTCTTCATGATAGCCATCTCCAACGAGGTGACTAATCAAATCATCGCTTCTTGTCTACGCGACCGTAACACCGAACTAAGCGAGTGGCCGGGAACCGACTTCTCTACCACTACGGATCAGGGCCATGCGCTACTAGGCAAGTCGCGTTCAACTCCGATGACATAGATCAAGACTAATCCAAACCAGGATCTCCAAACGGTGCTGGGTTCGCTTACTTTCTCATGCAGCACAAATTAGAACTTGGCCAAAAGACCATCAGCAGGATCACTATCTTCAGGCCTGAAACAGACGACGACGTCAGCCTTGTCGACGCATCTCTGTGTTTCCACGTGGTCGATGGCCCGCAGCCACCACCTGACGATGCTCATATGGAAGGGACTGATCGCCTGAAAGCTCGACTTGTGCAAGAGACAAATTCAAAAGATTCATCACCCAACAGCTTGGTCAGGGTCCACGAGATCTATATGTAGCCAACGGTTAGTGGGCGTTTCAGACATGAGGATGGTGTAGGCAGACATGCAAACACAGACTTGATGTACGAATTTCGTGTATCGTCTCTAGACTTCTACAGCTGGCCAATTTTAGTACGTGCGTGAGTAGAGTATCTAATCAGTTCAGTTTCTCCTCTTCTTCTGTATGGTAAACCGATATTCGTGATGAACTCCCCATTCATCTCACTCCGATTGTGTACATAAATGCGGATAATTTCTCAGAAGGGTTATTGCGCAGCGGGAATCTTTCTTAGTGAGTACTGCAAGTAAAGATCTGTCAACTGAGACTACAAGCATATGTTGGGGGCAATAGGCGCATATCAGCCGTCTTCGTTGTGGACGGCTGGGGGTGTGAGATCGTCTCATCGTCATCACCGAATGTGGGAAGGTGTACCGATGGTCTGTGCGATTGAGCTGGTCATCTCTCTTTCTGGATCAGCGTTGATGTTCGAACACTCGAGTTTTACTCCGAACAACTTCGCCGGTTACTCTAACAGTTTTTTTTTTAAATGCACGTATCGCAGAACTCTAGCAGGCTTTGTTACTTCGATACACAGCCAAAATGGTCCTGTTTTGCGCCCACGGATACGGTCGTGAGGGCATGCTGCCCCTAGACATTGCGGACCTGCGCTGATCCGTTCATGCCACATCCTCTTGTAACACATCCTAAAGCTACAAATTACAACTATCCATGAATCCCGCACACCAAAGTGCACACGCAACAACTCGCGCGAAGCAAGACCGGGCATCAACCTGGGTCGAATGAAGGCGCGTACCGCGTTTCAGTGGGACCGACACCTTCAAAGCTTCTTACCGGATGCGCTCATGGCACAGTTCACAGCTCGCTGAGACACTCGCGACCCGATGTGGTTGACTATAATTACTCGGCGTATGGTGGAGGTTGTGCATCAGTGCTATCACGCATAGCCAGACGAAGGTCAGTAGGACTGCCGAGGGACGGCGATGACAGCAGAGGCGCGTGAAGACGCGCATTAAATCTCTCGCAAACGGGCTTCAGGTGTGTAAGGTCTACCGTCGGCCGTGCTGTTTCCCCATCTAGCGACCCGCTATCCCTCCTCGAAAACAGGCGTCTCCAGAACCCCGGTCTCCGTTCTGTGAGCGCCTTCCATTCAATGTCCTCCGGATCCAGACATTTGCCAAAGTCGACGTATCTGGAGACGCTTACGACATAGGTTGATTTCGGAAACCTCGACTCGTCTGCGCAATTTCCATCGAACAGCCTTCGCGGAGTTATTTCGATGACCACTTCGGTAGGGCAGGCGGTGCACCGCAAGGCTTTATCAACATAGCCATCTTTGAGGTCTTCAGGATCGTGGTACGTGTAGAAGCGAGAGACGGCGTTTCTTACGCCACAACCCATGGAATATATATTGAGGACCGAGTCCAGATGTGGACATAACGAGTATGGAATCCCAAATACTATGGCCTTGGGGTCTACATCCTCGACTTCCGGAATACGACTGACCCATCTCTTTCTCCAAAGCAGATGACCATCACAGGGTAATGCATGGATGTCACTGCCCCACCGTCTTGACCCCTGTTGATGAAAGCCTTCACGGCGCAGGAGATTGTGTCTATACTGAAGGGAGTATCGAAATCCGCGCATCGTATCGTGGACGGTTTCCCAGTCCAACCCGTCGAACTTTGTGTGCGCCGTTTGCATATCGTCCTAGTCCCGTACTTGAAGGTGGCTGGGGCGTTTTGACCCCAGATATCCCGACTACCAGGTGATTTGCGCCTATGGTATGAGCCGCAATAATAACATATGATATGGTCCGGATAGTGCTTGTCGAAACACAGAACCGAGAACCTCGCTCGCTCGCTCAGCCTCGTTTTCTTCTTTCTTGATCAGGGCGAAAGGGTTCTTGATGGAGCGGACCAATGTATTCGCGTGGTGGCTCGTCATTTCGAACGCCGCCATAGATGACAAAGGTAGAAGTTCCAATATCGTCATGGAGATATGCCGAGGCAGTCTGTATAAATGAGTCTGACGGCCAGATTCCCATGGTTTGGGAATCTTCATGGCTGTTTCTGTGTGTTGAGTCATGTCGTAAGTCTGGTTTGGAATTTGCTGGATGCTGTGGCCAGAGATGACTTCTACGCTGTAAACCTTGGAGGGTTTGGGATCTTAGACGATTATATATGCTCCGAAACTCAGCGTTGTGCGTCAGATATGGCGCGTGCGCGGCTATCATTTTGGGAGGTAACCACAGGCAGAAGGTATGTTGACCATTACGTAGAGCTGATTGGGCTTATCAAGTTGCAAATGCAATGCTCGGTACCGCGGGGTGGCCAGAATCCGTGTCGCATGTTGCTGCATACACATCGCTGAATCTTGATAAGCAAACACCTCATGAGCCAATGTATACTTCTACCTTAGAATAATTGTGCAGAATTCGACACGAATCGGCAGCTACCATGGCGTCCCGGGGACCATAGCGACAAGTCACTCACAACTAATGCCATGCGGACTGGGCCAGCGTGGAGTAAAATTTTATGATAAGAGTGGCGGTAATCAACGATAATTCTAAAGAACACACGGGGTTCTACTCCACATCCGTGGAGTAGGTCGTAATTCTCACAAGCGGCTTTTGTTCTTACCCCTCGTCTGAACGATTTATAGTCGTCATCGAGCCCAGGAGATAACGCTATCCCGGCGGCGCTTGGAAAACTTTTTAGAACGTCCCAGGATAAACCAATGCGGAGTACTTGGGCAGGCGATCCAGCTTCCGGGTTAGACTTCCGTGATGGGTGCGAAAGTAGTGAGGAACATGAATATTGTAGCTGCGTCTGGGTAGATGGCATTCGTGTCTTGCGTGCCGAAACGACGCACGACGGCTTGTGAGTACTGCACGTAACCGGAGCAGGGTTTGTAGGTGTATACCTCGATAAGACCCGATGAGTTCATTCTGGCAGCTATTATAGAGATCGGGTGCATCATGATGCTTATGAAAAAAGGTTGGCTATGCATGCTTACACGCATGCGAAGAGAACAAAGGTCCGGATCGTCGAAAAGATCTTTGCGGGTTTTAGTAATCAACGGTTTCCTCAGGGTCTTCCCTAGTCACCTACGTAATTTCTGCTTACCTGGATAACCACACGCCGCAAGCGTTGGCGGAAGCGGCTACGCGTCATGCTTCCCACTCCAAGATCAGAATAAATAACAGGCGCTACTCTACGATTTGGAAGAAAGGCATGAATATCACGGAAACGAGCTTTAGTATGACCGCAATGCATGCCCTTATGATGTAAAAGTCACGTGACTTGTACAACCTTCCAAGGTCTCTATCGATGTAGAAGCAATAGTGAAACGATGCATAAAGGAGCCTCCGTATGTAGGGAGATAAAGATTGATACGTCTCGCAAGCGAGTCTATTCTTGAGCATGCGTCCTTGCACTGCGGAGAGCCTGACACAGGACCCGAGTAATCCGCCCACCTGCGCTATACCAAGGCTAGCCGGCATAGCCACCCAATGTCAACGTTCATTGGCCAAAACACATACTCGGGGGAGTAAACAAAAGATCTCGCTGTCTCACTACTGCTGCGTAGTACCGTTGTCGTGCCGGAGCGACACATCGATTGGCTGACGATGCCAAAAAGCGCCTCGTGTGTACACGCGGCTCTGATGCACTTGCGGCTATGTGCTTTTCGCTGTTGCCTGAGAGATGATGAGACGTTATCCCAGTCGGTGATGTGACTTAAACAGGCCTGTAGACTTCAGTTTGTCTTTGTTGCACCAAGCTATCTGGCTCTTTTCGTCTTCACCTCCATTTTCAGATACCAACAGATTACCCAAACCAACAAGATGATCATGGCGCAGGAACGTTCTCTTCGCGTACTGAATTTGTTTGCCAGTGCCCTCACAACACCTTTCCTCATTGCCATCACCGTTCTCTCGCTGGAGTCCCGTAGTTACCGGTATTGGTACGACCATCGCGATGTAACTACATTCTGCTTCGGCTATATCCCCCTCGCCATGACTGCGGTTGCTTCAACGGCGAGCATTGTCCACCAACGAAGGCACAATCGTATGCCAGGCCCCAAGTTCGCTCTCCTAGACGGATTGGCGGGTACCGCCTATCTTGCGATACTCATTCCGATCTGGGCGGTCGAGGTTGACGATCTGGGGTCAGCGGGATATGGCTTCTTGGCTGGATACGCAACAGCTCCCATGATTGTCAACATGTGAGTTGTTCAAAGTCCGAGCCAGTCATCAGTAGGGTTGCTAACATGATGACAGGTTTGTCCACTTCTACTTCTTTGCTTGCAAGGCTCGAGCGATGTGGTTTGCGTTGCGTACTCCGACGGTACATGAGTGCCCCAACTGCCACCACGACCTGACGGTAGGCACTCCACAGATCAAAGAGACGAACAAGGGTGGAGCGCGGTACAGCTTGCTGCGTGGAGAAGACTATCTCGATGCCGACGCTGATGCCGAGCGCTACATCGATGAGAGCGCGAGGCCTTCCGAGGAGCAGCTCCGACCTGAGGGTGATGACAAGGAAGACAAGGGCAAGTCCAGCATCGATGTCTGAGATGTGATCTGGCCTGGTTAGCTCTCGAGCTCTCATGTTGTCGCATCAGAAAGAACGCCGGAGTGTGAAGGAACGATGAAGGGATCGGCGCTGTGATATCGGATACATTGCGAAACGACTCGCATGAGGGAACACATTCTGCGATCAAAGTTAAACGGGATTGGTATTGCGGCGGTGGTGCAAGAGAGACGTATCATGTGTACGACACATCTTTTCTTAGGCTGAAGATATCTGGGATTCATTCGCGAAGGGTTTGCGCAGTCGTTCTTCATTGGGCTTAACGTATTCACATCTTTTCGATCATATATTCCTATCATATGTGGTCGTATGCATCAATCGATTGCCTATTCAGACATATTGCGGCGGAAATCTCTCGCCTTGATCCCACTGCAGATTGCCACGTCAGTGATGATTCTATTCTAGTATAAGAGGTAAGACTTACATGCTCCGCGATACACCCACCCTCCCATCGAAAACGGTCGACGACTTCCCCAAAACTTCCGGTGCGGTAGTTAAGCCAGCTTTGTGGAGACTTGAACGCTGTACGTAGTGGTGTGATGCTCTGCGAGCTCCATATTGGAGAGAGGATGTTCCAGGCGGAGTCAGACCCGTTCTGTGCAGCGGGGTTGTGGTTCTATACGTGGTTAGCCGTCATTGATCCTCTTGAAGACGTCGTGACCCTCTTACAATGTAGTCTTTGGCTATGTATTTGAACGCCTCACTGATGTCCTTCTTGTAGATGAAAGCTTGGGCGAAGGCTTCGGCACGCGTAGCTGTCTGCGCTTCGGTTGTGTTCATCACACGCACGCACGGTGCCGGCTTTGTGGGACGTGCCTGGCGGGCTGCGAGTACATCTGACCTGCTATGTATCTCGGCTGGAGCCGCCAGGGCTAGTAGAGGTGCAAGTATCGTACAGACAAGGATTGTGAAGCGCATTTTGAGGATGATGTCAATATGGCAGCTGCGGTAGCGTGAAGATGGAAATGGTAATGAACGTACAAGCGCGAGCACACTTATACCGCGAGCACCATACTTGAGTATCACCGTTGCTCCTCGCACAGACGTGTGATCAACACCAGACTGACAATTTACGGCACAATCTCCTAAATTGATGCGCCGAGCTGCCCCACCGGCAATATTCCGGGGTATCTGCGAGGCGATGTCACCATTCGTGGTATAAAGAACGCTGTGGCCTTGGGATGTTATCGACGTCTCAGGTTACGGTCGGCAGTTGTTGTGGCAAGCATGGTCGCTATCGTCGCAACGTGTAGGACTGGACAAGGGGCTGGGGCTGGCTCAGATAGACAAGGACGCGAATTGGGCCGACGCTTTCAGGGTTGATGACGTTTGCGCACGTGTGGGGCCGACGCGTCCGGAATGCTGACTCATGCACGCGCCAAAGGACAGACATGCGCTCGCAAGCAAAGAGACCTCGGCAGCTTGACAAACAGTACGCGATTTCTGTACCCTACCACGATATGGTCCACCGTCCTCACAACAACGCAACCTAGGCTCGACTACCCATCGTCCTCCTGCCTCGACAGGCACTATATCCTTCATTCTCTCCTGTACACGACCAAGCAAGCTCCTGAAGACTCACGCAGCAGACCCGACTCCAGCGTGCGAGGTACTCGTTATATGAAATCTCACCAGTCTAAATACCGAATCCAGGCATCATGGCGCTCGCGCTCACCACCCTCGTCGCCTCTCCATCGTGACTAGTATCCTAGTCCTCGTCGTCGCTCTCGTCTCCATCGATCATCTCCCCGTCTTCACTCGTCCTCTGAGACATGGCGCGCAATTGGCCTGAGCCCTGCAGATTGTCAGGGTCATAACCGCTGTCGCGAAACATTTGCAGTTGACCCTCCACGATCGCTACCTTCTTCCGCTGAATCTCCGCCGTGTCCTTGGAAAGATTCATCCCCTCGCCGGAATAGTTCAGCCCACCTCCGCTTCGGGCAGCGAATCTTGCATGCGTCAGATCAGACGCAATCACAGTGTATTGGGATGGTTCAGCATATGATCCAGGGCTGTTTCGGAAGAGATCGCGAGCTCTGCTGTATACCCGAGGAAGTTGCACAAAGATCACATTGACGTCTTCGTCGTCTGACGAGTGTGAGGAGTCGGAGGAATCATTGTACTCTTTGTCTTCGTCGTGGAGATCTTGCTGAACCTTCTGAAGCCTGGCCTGCTCGGCTTCAAATTGCGCCAGTCCACGTCCACGCGCTCCGTTGGCCTCGCGATCGATCGTCTGGAATGCCACCTTCTTGGCCCAGGCCTCCTTCTTTTCCTCGGCCTTGCGATCTTTGCGCTGGTAAGGCTCAGGTCGCTTCTGGAGCGTACGGGACGTGGCGGCCGATTGCTTCGCAGCGCTGGATTTCGATATCAAGGGCGCCGTGGACACTGCAGACTTGTAACATCCTGTCGCTGGGCTCCAATGGTGATGGTATGTCGGACATATCGCTGCCGACTCGCTTTTGCTAGCTCCCGATGCCCAATCTATTTCCAGCTTTGTCATCAACGCCTGCTTAGATTCATGGTACCAACTATCGAGCCTGGATATTTTCAGCAGTTCCAGGGTATCTTCGGCCTTCATGGCCAAAGCATCGACAAAGAAATTGAAAGCTCGCGTGTCATTCTCCGATAGAAGATTCATGAACGCCGGGCTCATGCGGAAGAATCCGAATTTCTCCATCGCACCATCGATGGTGGAAATCAGGCGCTGCTGGGGACGATGCAGCTCCTCATATACTCTATCGATGATCATATCGCACACCGCAAGTGCGCCCATCGTGTGGGCGAAAACGTATAGGTCTTCAAGTTCCTGAATGGACCACTGGATCTCCGTAGTCCGTGTGACCGGGTGACCCGCGTTGACCAATCCGACAACATCGTGCGTGGGCAGGGCCGCTCGGAAGTCGGGCGAGATGCACGCGACGAAGCGGGCGATAGTATCGGCATCTATGTCGTCTCCGTACTCGATCGTATCGACGGTCGGATCGTTTTTGATGGCGTCCTTTATAAAGGTGCAGTGCTCGATGGCTTGCTTTCGGCTCAGAATAGGTCGAGTGGGATGTCCGCGGCGCACGTCACCGGTCTTCCGCTTAAAGCTCAGAACATCTTCGGTTGCTCGACTGTTCTTGTAGCGTACGGCCTCTGCAGCTTCGGCCTCTGGATCGCTCGTTACCTCGCTTGATTGCGCGGCGGCAGGGCTGTCAAGACGTATGATGTCAGTTCTATGGTCTGCAGTCATGTTTGGCATCGAGTTACTTACCTCTTCCCTTTTTTCTCAAAGTCACAAATGAGGTCGCTTGGTCTCGATTCTGCCTTCACTCTCCTCGAGAGAAGGAACAACAGCTCCTCATCTTCTCCATGATGCAGTCCCACACGATAGTCTTCTGGCTTAGGCATCGCAGCCTTCGTAATACCACGTGCGGCCTCCTCTTGCGGCTGCGGTGTGGTGTATCGCTGAATACTGGGCATTGGTTCGTCGGCCATGTGTTCACTGCTCTCAAGCACGTTGGTATGGCTAGCAATCGTCAGCGGCTCCTCCTCTTCTATACCAGGTGATGGTATGCGCTCCGTCCGATTTGAGACTGTCTTGGATGAAACCGTCTTGTGTGGAACTGTCTTGTCTGGGATTGTCTTTCTGGACTGGTCGACGTCGCCAACTCTTTTCTTGTAAGCCTTCCGCGCCGATGGAGATACCCACACGAGACCTTTCTCTTCGAGGAACTTCCTCCCGTGGCTGCTGTAGTGTTTCCACATCCCTGATTCAGTAACCTCAGTCTTCTGCTTTTTCGGATCTGCGCGTCCTTCTGCATATCCTTCTTCTACCCATTTGGTGCCGCACTGTTTCATCGAGATGCCTTCGACGTCGTACCATTGCACCAGTTGTATATACTTAGTGTCAACTACCTGAGAAGTCCAGTCTTCGATAGCTGCTAGGCCCTCTATGAAGGCTTTGATCTCTTCATCGCTAGGTATGTCCTTCGCAGCAACTTTGGCGCGCGCACCCAGTGAGTTAGACTTTGTCTTGCGCTTTTTCATGGGCGGAGAGTTCGCGTCCTCGTTGTCATTATGCTCGCTGGGCTGGTCCGTGTTGAAAGCGGTATCTGTGGGGAGCACTGCAGCGTCCGCGGCGACGTAGGGCTCATTCAACCGACGCTTCCGTGCTGTGGTTGACATCCGCGCTGAGGCGTCAACCTCTTCTGTAGGCTTATCTGTGGATGACATGATCACAGTTGCAGAATCTTTCGGCTGGTTTGATGTAGCGGCTTGCTGTCGTGTGTCTTTTGCGATGCTTGAATGTTGTGGTACTTCTTCACCTACACCGGAGTGTCGCTGGTAGCAAAGAGTAGGTTGAGGCAAGAGTATAAGTAGATTCGGCAAAAGCGCAGCGGGAGGATCAGGCTCGCGGACTTTGTAAGAGGCACGAGCGGAGCCCACTCGGTGAAAACCATTTTCAGTCAGTCTCGTGAGTGCATGGGCTCATAACAAGAGGCGTCAGTCAACAACCGCGCGTGTGATCTGATTGTGATCGGAAAAAAGGAAGTGAAAGTAGGAGGCTTCAACTGGCTACGTGACAACAAGGCGATAGAGGAATCTGGCCTAAGACGATCCCTCGCCCTTCTGCCTCATCCGCTCACCGCGGCGCCGATATGCTCTGGTCCGAACTTCCACGCCAAGAATCCCGGCAGGCTGACCTTCATTGCTTGTCGCTCGAGGCTTTCCAACTTTTGCTCAACTAAATCCGCCATTTCTGTCTCTCCCCTTTCATTCGCCCTCAGCCACTCGCCGTGCTTGGCCTTGATCGCGACCCGAAGGTGCTCAGGTATAACCGGTGGTGGAGTTGAATTGGGTGAATGACCAGGTTGTACTTGATTGGGAGTGCGAAGGGGGCGGGAGCTGGAATTGGATGCGCGAGGTGCTGAAGACATTCGAGAGGCGTTGCGGCTTTGGGCGGTATTGACTACACGGCGAAAGATCAGTATGTTGTT